TTATTATTATTATTTACGGTTCGTGCGGTTTTTTTATTATCTCTGAGTTCGTGTTTGCTACCACCAATTGTATTAGTGAATAGATACCCGACTTTTTATCAACAAATGTAAGTTAGTTCGAATCTTAGAGTAACTCTGTTTTAATTGTCTCTCGTAAAAAATCTAGAACGATTATTTTAAACCCGTATTTTTTATGCTGGTAACCCTTGATCCAAGAACTGGCAGATGCCAACCCTAAAAACGACCGATGTGGCAGTAATATACCTATCCCATTCGATTCCATTACAGGGTAAGTTTTTTTACTTGAAACTTTAAAAATATCTGGCATAATAAGCACTGTCGAAAAAACTATATTAACTAAATTTAATCATTCCGGGGGGGATATATTAGTGCTAAAATTAGTAGTGTGCTTATTACGCGAGATATTTTTAAGTTAAAAAACTGTGACTGAGTTTGATGAATAAATTGACTAAAAAACTATTCCTATTTTATTTTGTTCTCCTTCCCGCAACCCCCAAGGAAAAGAACACCCACACCCCCCATCCATTAATCACTGCTACCAACCAACTGTAGATGAGCACCACACGTCAAAATGAAAAGCTGCCGGCCCTGGTCCAATGACTAATGCACCATACCCACCAACAATGACAGACAGCCTGTTTCGACCTGTTGGGTCTCATCAGTGTCAGGCAGTCGGTGGCGGGAGACACGCATCAAGCTCGGCACTGTTCACTTATAAAGAAATACGTGACCAGGACAGCGGCGAGATGTATCGGCAAGTCAGTCTGGAGACATCTACCCAATTCAGTGTTCATTAAACTGAAAATACTATCTAAATTTTTGCCCACTATGTATATCATAGTGTCATCTGCAAACAGTGAAATTTTACAATTTTTCACACATTTAGCAATATCATTGACATACAGAATAAATAAAATAGGACCAAGAACGGTTCCCTGAGGGACACCATAATCATTTAAAATAGATTTTGAATCACTTTTTAAATTTTACTTTTTGCTTTCTATTGTTAAAATAGGATTGGAACCAATTTAATACATCACCACAAATACCTATGTTTTTAAGTTTTTGAATTAATAATTTCCTATTTATAGTCTCGAATGCTCTCTTAAAATCTAAGAATACTGCTAAAATAATACAATTGTCATCCATTGCACGCAGCCACTCATCACTTATACTTAATATCACAGATTCACAGGAGTGACCTTTACGGAAACCAGATTGATTACTTACTATCACAGAGTTAACATCACAATATTCCAATAATTGTTCTTTTACTACCACTTTCAACATTTTTTCATATACAGGTACTGTATTTATTGGACGAAAGTTATTACACTGACTGGTATTTTGCACCTTTGGCACTAGTACTATATATGAAGTTTTCCACTCTTCTGGAAATACCCCTTTTTCAAGGGATAAATTGATTATTTGTGTTGATAGGTTATCATTTGCTCCCATTGTGTTTTTCAGTGTACACACAATTTTTATTAACTCACACATTTTCACAGCCTTAAATTTAAAAAATGGTACATGGGAATCTACAAGGTCAAGGGCAACCTTATCATTCTTATTTTGATTAATAGTTTGAACAATTTCTTCAATACTTCGTATAAAGTATGTATTAAATTCTTCAGCTATTTCCTGTTCATCTGATGTTTTAAAATTTTGGAAAATAATTGTATCTCTGGCCACTTTTTTTTATCTGGTAAAATTGTCTTTATATTTTTCCACATTTGTTTTGGATTTGTTTTATTTTCATCAATTATTTTATGAAAATAATTTTGTTTTTCATGTCTTATCATTGTTGTTACCATGTTTCTTAAGCTTTTGTATTTGTCCCATGTTTCCTCACATTTGTTTAAAGTTGCTCTTTTATAATTAAGGTCCCTTTCCTTCATTTTATTTAAAATTTCTGGTGTAATCTATTTATTGTTAATATATTTTTCTTTAATTTTGAATTCCACTTCTGGACATATTTCTTCTATTACAGATTCCATAGAATATTTAAAAGAATTTGCTAGTTTATTTAGGTTTGTTATATCATTGTCCCAGTATTACAGTTTTTAGGACATCTCTTTCTAATTGTGGTGTAATTTTTGTTTTTATTTTTATTGTAGTTGACCAGAATTGATAGAATTAAGTGATCACTAATTTTAGGAGTTTTGTGAACCTCATGTATTGTATTTTTGTTGTTAGTAATAATGTAATCAATTAACGTTGAGCTATTCACAGTTATTCGAGTAGGTATATTATTTCTTTAGTTTTCTTACTATATTGTGTTTCATTAAGTAGATTAAAATTGAAATCGCCTACAATATATGTTATTCCATCATATTCAAAATTTTCTAAATGGGTTTCGAAATAATCCATGAATAAGGAATCATTTTTTTCTGGAGGATGGTAAACAGATGTTATGCAGTAAATAAATAATTATTTCAATAGAGAGTATCCATATAAATGATTCAATTTGCTCATGTAAAAACTTTATAGTTAAAACCATTTTTTATGTAGATTAATATACCTCCAGTTCTTTTATTTTTTGTGACACATTTTTCATTTTGATATCCTTTAATTTCTATTTCCTTTTCTGAAATTTGACTATCTACATGTGTTTCCACTAGACACATTGTTATTGGCTTCCACTCTCCAACTAAAACTTTAATACTGTCCATATTATTAATAAAACCATTACAATTAAAGTAAACAATTCTATTATCTATATTTAGTATTTGCTATGTTGAATATTGAGTTTTATTGCAATCTCTTTCGAGCATTCTTTAAAAAACAGGACATTTTTTATCGGTAGCTTTATGCTTACAATCTAAATTAATTTTTAATCGTTGTACAGTTTTTAATCTTTGTACATTTTTTGGAAAAATCGTAGATCCAAGTCTGTGTACAACTAGTAAAATCCACTGGAAAATCAGTGAAATCAACAGAATAGTGATGGGTCGCACATGTGCGAGTCGTACATAATGTACGACACTTTTGTGTGTGCCGAGCTGGTACGACTCTTTTTAAATGTGCTACCAGCACATAGCACCCCAGATATAAAAAGGCACCTTTATCATATGTGGCACGGTGCGCTGAAACAGCACTGCTCTTTATCTAACCTATGGCTCTTTAGTAAAGAATCTTTACGTATGTGGCTTTGACTCTATGATTCAGCACAGAACACATAGATGGCACTACAATAGGTTACAAGTTGTAGAGAAATTATTTTATATAATTAACAGTTTGTATATCCAATCCAATCCATAATGTATCGTGATGTCCATAGATGGCAACACAGTCTATATTATAATTATATTAAAATAAAATTGCCACTTATCAAAAATGGGTTTAAGTTAAAATTGTATTTATCGACTTTATTAATAAACATAAAAAACATAAAACTGGATTTTACATCAATTAAAAATCCAAAACCGACAGTTGGATACGACACGCACAGTGTGCTGAGCTGTGCAACGTGTGAGATTCTCAATTTGAATAATTTCCCCCACCCCGCACAAATGTACGACACGCACAGTGCCGCACACTGTAGTGTGCTGTGCAACGTGTGCTAGTACAACAGAAATACAAGGAGTTGAAGTTGCATATATTATATATATATATATATATATATATATATATATATAAAAAATTTCTTCTGAACTAAAGAACATATTTTATTAATTTTTTTTATTTTGTATAAATTATTGTTAGTCATAAAATTCGTTATATTATTAAAGGTTCCTTTTGGACCACCCTGTATAAACAGGGTGCACCAAGTATACTTCTATGTATGGGTATTTTTTTTATTTGAGATAGCTTGAAGATAAAATTAATTAAGTTATGATACTTTAACGTCCTTATAGAGTTCTTATTAAGGGTATACAGGGTGCACAAAGTACCCCTTTATGTGTATACTTCTAGGGGAATTTTTGTTATTTGAAAAGCTACAATGTCCGTTAAATGGAAAAAAAAATCAGCGGTTCTCAAATAGTTTAAAAAACTAAAAACCTGTCAAAACAAAAAATCTCTATAACTTTGATATTCCTGGAAATTTCTTTAAACATTTTTACATGTAAACATATACATTTATCTAAATTTTCATACAATATATGATGTTTTCGCCTACTGGTTTTTGAGATACCACCACCATCTTTTGTTTTCCTATGACCGCCCTATTAGAATTTTGATTAGATAGAAAAAAAATCAAGGAATCCAAAGATGTATCAAACTACATAAGTTATAGCCATTATAAAAACAAAAGATGGTAATGGTAACCCAAAACATAGTAGCAAAAAAATTTGATAAAAATGCAGATGAATGTGTGTGATTACATGTAAAACTTACTATGTTTCAAAATTTCCAGAAATAACAAAGTTATTATTGGATTTAAAAGGTTTTTAGTTTCTTCCAAACATTTTGAGAACCTATGGCTTTTTTTCAATTCATAAATTTTATTTAAATAGGCCTGTAATTACTCAACTTTTTTTCAAATTTAACCGACATTGTAACTCTTCAAATAAAATTGTACCCATAGAAGTATACACTAGAAGGATACTAGGTGTACCCTGTATGCTATATTTTTTAAACCTGTCAGTAATAATAGTTATTGTCAGTGTTCATTTACTATTGTGCCTGATTTTGCTGAATTTTTATTAAATAAAAAAAATGTCGCCCTTAAGATAGCCCTTACACCCACAGCACGCTACTGTCTAGAAGTACTTTGTTATCAGTTGTTGTCGTATTCGAGTTTAGAATAAATATTAGCGCAAAATTTTAATATCGAAGAGATTCACGTTTCTTTATTTTTATTTAAAATAAATTGCTATCTTCGTAACTAAAAATGTTTTACGATTTTTTTTTCATTATAAGTTATTATTAGCTTTAGCTATAATTTCCCACGTTTATGCTTATAGTTTAGGAATCACCCTGTATAGTATGTACAATATTGTTATTGTTAATTAAATAAGTTCGTATTTTTTTTACAGGTGGCAGATTTACGCGAATTTGAAGAATTTGGAGATTATTTTCCAGATTTGGAATCATATCCATTATATCAAGCGGCACTTCATCAACTGGAAAATGGAGGCATCCCTTGTAGAACACTTAGAACAGATATGGTTAAATGTGGTTCAGATGGTGAATATTTAGCTAAACTACATTGTTTAAGACTAGCCTTTCAACATCTTTTAAGAGATCATGTTAACTATGTATGGTTTGCTGATGCTGGTCGCCAAATTTTAGCTGATTTGTTGTTGTATGCGGACAAGGACCCTAAGGACTTCTTAATGGGCTACGAAGAAATGCTTAATTATATCCAAGAGGCAAGTAATTGGAGAGAATTAGAAGAAGAACTAAGTACAAAGGGTGTAAAAGCTTTAACTTTTTATGATGTGGTCCTAGATTACATATTAATGGATGCTTTTGAAGACTTAGATAGTCCACCATCAAGCGTAACAGCGGTCATCCAAAATCGATGGCTCTCAAACGGATTTAAAGAAACTGCCCTTACCACTGCAGTATGGTCTGTTCTCAAGGCCAAAAGAAGAAAATTAAAATTTCCCACAGGATTCATGGCACATTTTTATACAATTTCTGAACAACTATCTCCATTACTGGCATGGGGATTTCTAGGCTCAGATGAACTTTTAAGAGATACATGTGTTCATTTTAAAGAACAAGTAATGGGATTTTTAGCTGATATTTTTAACTTTCAAAAATGTAAATACACTACCGTAGAAGATTTAGCAGTTGATGTAATAAAAAACCTTAAATTAAGAGTTGAAAATATTTGCCAAAGACTAAGCCCACAATCTTAAACTATTTATTTAGTAGGATTTTTTTCACATATTGTTTTTTTATTTATAACTCAGAACATTTTAAATTCTTTATAAAGATAAATCCTATGGATGATTTTGTACCTCTTTTAGAAATATACATACAGTGTGTGCGATTTAAGACCGCAACACCCCATTCGTATATACGCGTTGACTGATTTAAATATATATATATATATATATATATATATATATATATATGATAAAATCTGATAAAATCTGCTAAACGGGTCGAAAGAATATATTCAAATTGGTTAACGCGCCAAAATAATGGGGTGTTGCGGTCTTAAATCGCATACACTGTATATGAAATGCTGTAATATTATAACTAATTAGGTTTTAAAGTTATGAGAAATTCAACTATGCAGTTTTTAATTGACATTCCTATTGTATCTACATTATTTTTATTTATTGCATTTGCGTTATTGTTTTTATTCTAAAATATAAATATAAAATTAAATACCATGCGTTTTTAACCTTATTAACCAATATTTTATGCATATTGCAGTATTTTATTAATGTGATAATATGTAATATAACAAAATAACATACTGTCCCTGCTGAAAAAGACGCGTAATATCAGATGATTGCAGATAAAAAACAAGCTAGTTTAAGCCATTTATATCCGTTTTCATCCGACATATCCGATTTTACCCGGCATGTCTGTTTTTATCTGCAATTGCGAGTGTAGTGTCCAATTGGGTTGAAGGGCAAAGTCAGTAATACATCACGTACCTTTTAACACCTTTATTGCTAATACATCTTAACATCACGACTGGGGGCCCAACGCTGTTGGTGACCTAGTTTGGTCTTACCTAGCACCAGTATTGACCGATCAGCAATACGTGTACTGACGTGGCCAATACCACGCACTACACGAGTATAAATATTATCCGCGAACGTCGGGTTTTATCTATATCGTTCTATGTCTGCTTTCATCAGGTTTCATCCGCAAATACCTGTATTTGGGTTTATATCTGCATTCACCCGGTTTTATCTGCAAATACCTACTTTCGTCTGTTTTTACCCGGTTTTATCTGTGTCTGCCTTCATTTACTTCTTTGCCTGCTTACGCCCGGTTTTATCTGCGATTATCTGATTTTAACGGTTCTACTTGCAAACATCTGCGAACGTCTGATTTCATACGCAAACATCTATTTTAATCCGCAAACGTCTGTTTCATCTGATTTCAAACGTCTGTTTCATCTGATTTTACCTACAAACATCTGCTTTTATCTGCGAACTTCTGCTTTAATCCGCAAACATCTGCTTTAATCCGCAAACATATGTTTTATCCGTAAACATCTGCTTTTATCCACGAAGATCTGCTTTCGTCCGATTTCACCTGCAAACATTTGCTTTTAATTGCAAACCTCTGCTTTCACTTGCCTTCGGTTTTATCCTTGATCCATTTCGGTCCTGTTTCGTGCGCAAACATCTGGTTTAATTCGCGCTTTTTGTTTTTCTTACGTCTTCTTGGGTATACTTTGGTTTAATTTACCTGCTTTGTAAAATTTTACTGAGCTTTAACTGAACGTCTGCTTTAATTCGCAAACATCTATTTTAATCCGAAAACATCTGATTTCATTCGTAAACATCTATTTTAATCCGCAAATGCCTGCTTCATCCGATTTCACCTGCAAACATCTGCTTTTATACGCCAAGATCTACTTTCATCCGCGAACGCCTGCTTTAATCCGCAAACATCTACTTTAGTCCGCAAAAGTCTGCTTCATCCGATTTCACCTGCAAAAATTTGCTTTTATCCGCGAAGATCTGATTTTATCTGTAAACGTCTGCTTTAATCCACAAACCTCTGCTTTAATCCGCAAACATCTGCTGGAATCCGCAAACATCTACTTTAGTCCGAAAAAGTCTGCTTCATCCGATTTCACCTGCAAAAATCTGCTTTTATCCGCGAAGATCTACTTTCATCTGCCAACCTCTGCTTTAATTTGCAAACATCTGTTTTAATCCGGAAACATCTGCTTTTATCCGCAAACATCTGCTTTTATCCGCAAACATCTACTTTCATCCTCAAACATCTGCTTTCGTCCGATTTCATCTGCAAACATTTGCTTTTAATTGCAAACCTGTGCTTTCACTTGCCTTTGGTTTTATCCTTAATTGCCTGCATATTATTTGGTAAAATACAAATAAAGTCTTTGTTAAAAGACACAAATAAACATTTTTTAATCAATAAGTTTACATTCAAATTGTTAGAAAACATATGTATATGTTCAATTTCAAATACATTTGGAATTATAACATCTTCAATTTGTATGGAATTTGTTTGAAAAACACTTGATGAACCCGGACAAATGAGGGTTCAAGCTCAAAAAGTTTCCCATGTTAAATCCCATAGGAAAATCTAAGGTCCAAAATATCTATTTTTGGCGGTTTCAAGGTCACAAGGAAGAAACTCGCATACGTATAGACAACCTTCTATATATACCTAATCTGTGTAGGTTATCTAAGGTGATATGTTGCACGCATGCGCACCTCCATCAAATATATGTCAGGTGATTATGGCGATGTGATGACGTAATATGAAAAATTAAAAAAGTTTTTATATTCGTGGGGGTTTGAACTGCTGACTTGTAGCATGATAGACGAATACAATAGGCAAGAGACTAATTCCCAAACTTGTAATCTTTTATTTGAATGATCTACATACGCTAGGTTTGCCACGTCACACTGCTTTTTTTTCATAGTAAAATATATTTAATAATACTTTGGTAGGAAAATAAATTAAAAAAATAAATTAATTTATATTATTATTTATTTTAAATTTATATTACATTGCCAAGTGTGGGTATACGTAATTAAATAAAAATGTATTCATAAAATATATAGGTACATTACAAAATTACTTAATTAATATTTTTATTAATTTGATATTGTAATTTTTTTCATTTGATTTAATCATATACGCTAAATTTGATACGTCATCATGAATTAGTTTCGCTTGCTAAACATTATATTGAGTAATTTAAGTGATTTTGGAAATAAATATAGGTAATTAAAACCAAACTTATAAAATAATTAATAATTAAATACCTAATTGATTAAAATAATATTATATAATTTTTGAGGATTTTAGAAAAAAATTTACTTATACGATATATACACAAGTAGAGACACTATGTATGTTCTCGACCGGAAGTGACCCAGACGCTACGTGACGTCAGCAGTAGGCAGTTCTCGATGGTGGCGCAGGGGGGCGGTGGGGTGGTGGGGGGGTGATCATTTTAGCTATTGGTGGGCAGCCATTTGGGCAACGCCCTCAACTGATAAGCGTAAGTGAGCCTATTGGTGGGCTGTTGGCGGCTGGCGGATGGCGGCCATGTTTGATAGATATTAGCTATTGGTGGATGGGCGTTCCCTTTAGTGTTGTGGTTGGTTGTGGGCGGGGGATGTGTGTTTAGTTGGCATTACTGGAGATGCAAAAGATAAGCGATATGCATATTGGTTGTTTGTGGTTAGCGTATTAGTTTGGTATTACTGGAGATGCAAAAGATAAGCGATATGCATTTGCTGACGATGGGCGTGACTTAACAGTGGTTTGATATCCGGGGAGATAAGGATTTATTATTATTTTGTTGTAAATTTTATTTTTGACGCCATTTTGAATTGCTGGATCCCGACTTGTCCCGACTTGTTGTTCGGCAAGTTTCGGGGGTTTTAATGCGGTGTGGTATCAGTTATTTGGAGATAAGGATTTATTATTATTTTAGAAAAACGCAGAGAAGCGAACATTTTTAACATGGGTAGATTGGAACATCGGGAGCCTTTTTAGACGTTCAGTCTCCCGTCCATCCTTATAATAACAACATTTTAAACAGGAGAACATATAATATCATAGGTATTACTAAAAAATGATTAGTGTAAAGGAAATTGAAAAGGCAATCCAAAATATTGATAAATTTTTGGAAGAATGTAGTAAAAAAAAAAATTAAGAAAAATTTGAAAATAAATATCCTACTCGACAGGAAATATATCGAGAATTTTTGGAAAAGGAAAAAATTAAAAAATGGACCAGTCAAAAAGAATTTTTGGAGCAACATCTTAATGCTAATGTTGTAAAAACCCAATATGGTAAACATTTTGAGTCGTGCCCCTGGTCAAATTCAGATGAAGGTCCTGATACATGCCCATGCTGTATGGTTTCATTTTATACGAAAGAAGCTAACGAGGTGTTAAATAACTTACCAAAAATAACATGCTGTTGTAAAATTAATTAAATAAATTCCCTAGCAAAACTATTTTTGATTCAGTTCGTTTAAAATGCGGTGCGTTCAACAGCCTGAAAAACTACCTATAACTAATTTAGATTTATTTGAAGGTAGTTCTGATGTCAGTAAACATGGTAATTTACTACCAAATTCCTTTAGAGCAATTTTTTGTGGTCCTAGTGGGTGTGGTAAAACAAATGCCCTATTAAGTTTAATATTTAATCCTAATGGAGCTAAGTTTGAAAATATTTACGTTTATTCAAAATCACTTTTCCAACCAAAATATCAACTATTACAAAATGTTTTAAGGAAAAGGTGTGGGGTATTTTTCATATAAAGATAATGATGAAATAATTGAAGCTGTGGAAGCTCGAAATAATTCAATTTTTATATTTGATGACGTAGCTTGTGATAAACAAAATAAAATACGTGAATACTATTCAATGTGTAGGCATAAAAACATAGATGCGGCCTACTTGTGTCAAACGTATTCAAAAATACCAAAACAATTAATACGTGATAATTGCAATGTTATTGTGCTATTTAGGCAGGATGATATAAATTTAAAACATGTATTTGATGAGCATGTCTCACCTGATATGCCTTATGATCAGTTTAAGAAAATATGTTCGGAATGCTGGAATGAGAATTATGGTTGTTTAGCTATCATAAAAGATTTTCGTTTAAATAATGGACGCTATCGAAAGGGGTTTGATAAATATATAAATATCCAAAATACGTAAATTT